TGCATAACATACGGAAGGACCGATCCGATCTGATAATGAGTGCATTGATAAGTATTAATATATGTCCATATTCTGCACTACAGTGACAACTGTAACATCTACACACAATCTGGCATGCTTAGCATTCACATTCATTTCCATGTGGATATAGGCAAAACTGCTACCTGTCAGCCTATTAAACCACACCTGTCCCTGAGCAGGCACTAATCTATTTCTCTCGATTAAAACGTGCGAAGCTCGCTAGCTCCAGTGTTCACTTACTGCTTCAGTTAGCCCTCACCAACCTGCCTAACGTTAGCTAATACAGCTATAGCAGTTATAGCCTCAAAGTCAGACCAAAATGTTTAATCGCACAGTGAACATTTCCCCAGACACTTCCGTCAACACGACACAATCAATGCAAACTCTTAGGTAAATGGGTTGCAAATAACTTTAAGATAAATCCGCTGCCTGGCCCCGCGATGGACAGAGTGTTCATACAGGCCATTACAGTATTATGGCTGGATAGCTAACGCCTGCTAGCCATGCTACTCTGGCACTTCCAACCAACAAACAGGTATATTTCCTCCTGACCAGGGAGACAGTCACGCTTAACCTCGAGTATAAATGCGTGCGCAAGTGCAAAACAGCTTACCTTGGTTCCCACTTTTATTTTTATTCCAACGGCGGCTGGCACAACATTGCACTTCCCAAATAACATCAGCAGACAACAGCATCCAGCCGAGCTGTAAACACAAGCCCAACCAACCCGCTGACAACCACACCGCGCATGCGTCTGTCACTGCTCCACAGTCTATGCAGAAAGGAGGCGCTGGCTGGTGTGCAGCTTTGACTGATAACACGAGTCTGTTTTGTTTTGTTTTTTAAGTCAGGGCTCATCTTAAATGAGAAGTGTCAAACACACTGGGCCAAGTAGGAGTCTGTTCTCCATTTTTCAAAATAAATGCAGTTGCAAGTGGCGTGAATGTCTGTGCTTGGCTCTGGAGGTTTTTATGGTATAGATGGAGGTTTCCATATCTATTTCATAGATTTTCTTATCTATTTCATATCTATATCATATACAGTTGCTGCTGTCAGGTGAGAAAGTAGGTGTAATCATGAAATATTCAGGGTGTGCAACTACACATAGACTTCCTGTTGCTTTATTCTTGGATTTCAGCAGCTTCAAACACTAATGTTTCATTCTTTCATGACAAGGCAGACTGGGGTTTCACAGAAGTCCCAAGTTCTTACCTTTGAGTGCTCATTCCTTTTCTTAGTGTTGTAAACATATGTGGTGCTGATGCTGACCATATAACTCCTTGGCTTAATAGTACAATAGTTGGTACAGTCATAAAATAATGATATGTTCTCCTCTTGTATTAATTCATGCACTTCTACATAGAAGAACCTTTGTTTCCATATCTCCAAAAGTTGAGTCTGTTCATCTGGACGTAGCGTTTTCAGTGGGAGAAACGTTTCAACACATCCAAGTGACTTCTTCAGTCTCTTCAGTCTTTGTTTCCATAGTTCACACTCAAGTTAACCAAATGTAAACCCAGAATTTTGCAGTACTTCAGTGTAGATGGTGCCCAGGGGTATGTATAGAAGGGATGAATCGGTTGTACATGGTCCCTCTGAAACATGGTCCTCCTTCTCTAGTTGCCTGCACCCCAAATGCATTGGACTAGAGTACAATCCCACCACTGGATGAGAGCACAGATAGGACCATTAACGCAAGTACTTTACTCAGGTTTTATGTAGTTATACTTCATTTAACTATTTCCATGCACTTTATATTTTGAGTGCAATTATAGATCAAGTTACAGAGCAATATATCTGTAATTAAAATCATCAACAGCTGCAATGTTAAAGATACATACACATAAATATTTCTAAAATAATCGAAAAATATCATACATATGATTCTAACAGTGCCATTTCACGTGAGTACATTTTGTTCAAGAACTTAAATATATTTAAATATACATCCTGTGAACTACTAAGCTATTTAAAAATGATTCTTTTACTTAGGTAAAAAGTCTCTAATACCTTTTTTTCACTTTGCAAAAAACTATCCATTAGAAGTTTCTGTTTAAATTCATATGCAGCTCCAGTTTTCACATAATAAATCTGTAAAAAAGGACTGCGTAGTTTGAAATTGTTTTTTGATCACTAGTTTTATACACTTATTAAATATATCTGGTCCTTGTGTTGCACCTCATTAAAAAAAACCCAAAACAAAACAGTCTTGATGGCGCCCTTCTGTTTACAACATATCTTGGGTTTAAAAAAAACAACAACTATGTCCCGCTGCAGTCAGTTATGAGAAACACACCTACGGTTCTCATTGTGTCGGTGCCATGCTGGCCCTTCCTGTCCAGCCTGTTGTTTCATAAGGGACGTACGTGGGAACACAAAGCACAATACTCCGTTTAAATATATTGAAAACCAGGTCACCACATCACAGCAGGCTCACACACATACTTAGCCTGTTAGGAAATAAGAGATTTCTAATGAACGCTTCACAATAACACTGACCACCTCATGTTTAAGTCCACACTTTTAACAGCCACTTTGATTTGATTAGTTTAAATGCACTGCAACAATCACGCAGGAAGGAATGTATAGTCCTGCTGCATTTTGAAGCAATGTGGGTGCATCATTGTGATATTCTACTTAAAAAAAGATCCTAGGAAATCACATTGAAAAGAAAAATCATTAACACAGTGGTGTAGCAGTTAGCATTGTCACCTTGGCGCGCAAAGGTCTCAGGTTTGAATCCAGCCTGGTGGCCTTTGTATGTGGATTTTTTAATGTTCCCCTCATATCTGGGTGGATTACCTCTTGTTGTTAATTGTTGTAAATGTGCTCCAGCATCTAATCCTATAACAAGACAAATCAAGACAAGAATCACACACACAGTACTATTGTTGGTTTATTATAGCATGCAATTTCATGTGCTAAAATCTTCTTTTTCATAACTTAACGTCTCAGTGCAACCCCGAAGCAGTATGCCGCTGGGCCAAGCTGTCTGCAAGTCATTGTAATACATTTGAACAAGCCAGAAAATGCACCAGAAGAATCAGTCAGTAAAACAAAACTCAAACAGTTTCATACATTATTAAGAGCACATAAATCATCACCACCATAGGTTAGACTTTACTCCAGCCCTGCATTACTGCACAATTAGTAAAAGGGAAACCTTTCACAACGTGATATTTCCAAGGAAATAAATGGAATACATAACAGTATTATTCATCTTGGGGACCTTTTGGATATACCGTCTCTTAAGGATTGTAGTTTCCTCATTCTGAAACATTACACAACTGCCCCAATGACTTAAACATTTAACTATATCTGATTATCACAGGTTGTATAAATGAGCGTCTATACTAAAAGTCCATCTAATGATGGTGTCAGACTGTATACAATGACGGATGTGTACCATCTCTTAATAGTTTACATTTCAATCGAACAATAGATTTGCAAATAAAATGTCTAATACAGACATGAATAGTCAGAAAACATCAGTTCATATGTTTCACAATCAACAAACAGGCTTTCCCCCCATATAATATAGAATAATGCGACACTTTTTTTCTAATAAAAAACATTTTTAGCAAACTTTCATATCCAAAAGAAGCAGACTTCGAATATACCAAGAAAAAAAAATACCACAACAACCAAATGTGGTTATAACAATAATAATATAATCTCTATTAAACAATAATTGATTTTCATGAGCAAGCAATTAAAATGCTGCAAGCAAACTTCAGCACTTGACGTGGCCACACAGTGGGCATGTGCAGAACTCTTACAGCGCTGGGTGTGTTGTATCACAACTACAGAATTGTCATTACTCCTCCGCCATCACAAGAGGGATTAGATCGCATGCATGACGCAGGATGCAGGGAGGGCCAAGGTTTAGGAGGTGGGTTGAAGGGAAGTGGGAAGGGGCACTCGCTGGGTGCGATGGGAGAATCAGTGCAGTGCAGTTAGCCACTACAGCAGTGCTCCAGACACTTTATAGGAAACAGGGAGTATCACTTTGACATTACTTCAATACTCACAATACTGTTTTTACATACAGTAGTGCCCAGCCCTTTCTCATGTGAACACAAATAGCAAAGCCAATACTTAATACCGAGAGGCAAAGAAAACACTGGCAAATAACATAATCAGTGCTAACACTTTAACCCACGCATGGTTGGGGTGAAAGGGTCAGTTATCAGCAAAGTGAAATTCAGGCAAATACTTCCACATAATATTCAAAGTGATGGATATAGAAAAAGCCAAAGTAGCTGAGCAAATTAAGACTTCCCTGAGCAATTCAAAACAGACATGGGTCCGCTAGCCCCCTCTAATGGAACAAAGCACAACTACAAGAGAAGTATCTCACTCCTCGACTTGACAGAGCCTCTCCCTCCTCGCACAGTTTACAGGGGAAGGAAAATTAAAAGCTGTGGGACGGGGCGCGGATTTCAGAGACTGATTGTACTGTACCCAACATGGCACTTGACATTATTATGTTGTACTTCAAAGGTGAAGCTGTAAACAGATGCAGAGTGATAGTATAGGTAGCTGAGCTGATTTAATAACCGTCTGGAAGCAGCTAAATCCCTGTGCCTGCCCTTGGCTTTCACGGTCACACAAAACAAAAAATAAAGAAATATTTTTTTTTTTAAATTCTAAAGAGTATCACATCAAGTTATAATGAAATGCTCAGACCAATTTATCCAATTCCCTTCTCTCTCTTTCTCTCTCCTTTTACTTTTATAAAATAATGAGAGAAAAGATGTTAATGCTTATGTTTCTGAGTTTGTTTTTTAAATAGGTACAGTAGCGGGGATAAGAGGAAATTAAGGGAGCTTGAAAGACTTGAAAATCAGTTAGCTTTCGACCTCAAGATTTAGAATTGGATGTAAACAAACCTCATAACTTTATATCCCATATATGTATGTATGTATGTATGTATGTATATATATATATATATATATATATATATATATATATATATATATATATATATATATATATATATATATATATATATATGGGTTCATGTTTTGTATTTATTAAAGTCACTAAGAAAAATTCACTCATGACAAGAAGCCTCATATTTATAAAAGGAGTGAGGCACAGCAGGGCTGTATGGAAATCACCCATATTGAAACAAAGCCACGGTGAAGTAGCACACGGCAATGTAACACAGACAAACATTAGAAAGCAAGTCTACCACAATGTAACACACAACTAACAACAAAAGAGTGGCAAAAAACCTATACAGAAATACCCAAACAAACAACTTCACAGAAGTTAGTTAAATGAAACTAACCAAAACTTTTCAAAAAGTAAAACAAAAGTTTATAGATGAACAGATGCACGAAGTGGCGTCCCTCTCTTGGGTAGGCTTGACCTTTCAACATCACGCACAGCTGGTAAATATTGTTTACACAACACACACACATACACAAACAAACAAAAAATGACGGGACCGGAAATAATAGACGGTGGACTTTTTAAAATGCAGTTCCGTTTTAAGATCACATTTGTGTTTGTTAACACCTTTGAAATGGTAAACAAACAGAGCTTGTGTGTGAGCGGGGGGACTGTAGAGCACATGCTTCGTTTTAGACCACGCTAAGGAGAGAAAGGCCACTGTATTGCATGTTTGTGTGAATGGCAGTCACATGACGGCGTGAAACTCTTTAACTTAATAAGAGTAGCTGATTAGTGCCACTACAGGCACAAAGAGATAAAACTGACTTGTAGAGAAATTCATTACATTTTCTCTAGCTGCTGCTTGAACTACAAAGTCTGTTCCTAAATAAAATACATTTATGTTAAAAGTATTGTATCATTCATTTAAAAAAAAAAAAAGTAGAAAACTGACCTTAGGTGATCAGTGATCTTTTGAAAATTTAGGTCTGTATGTTTGTGCCTCTGATCCCATGACAGGACTGGAATCCAGAGCCCAACGTTTAAAAGATCATATGACTCAAAAGACAGAGGCTTGATTCACTATCAGCACTTTTTAAAGACCTCTGCTGCTCTTTTTTTTATTTTCTCAGAAGGGTGCCGTGCCCTTTCTATTTTTGGTCTCAGTATAAGTAACATCTATGTCTTAATCTTTTCAGAGACGTAAAATGAAATGTCAATATGAAACATAAGGCTGCTCAGAGAAGGCATTTGTTATAGCCTAATAAGACATGGAAAAAATTTTGTCCGCCTAAAAAAAGGGATAAATAATCCCACTGTTTACCCTTTAAAAAGCTATGTGGGCCTTGACCATAAACCAGCACCTGCTTTGAAACTTTTGGAAATGCATGTTTTCCAAGGCACAAGCTAAACGCAAATTACACACAGCGAATTAATGTCAAAGCATTCAATGTTTGGGACAGGCGTAAGTAATTGGAGGGTCTGCTGCTGCAAATGACTTCTGTTAAATTTCCTGTGTACCTCAATGCTATACTGGGAGAAAGGATCTCAGTAAACTTGGTAAAACTGAAGAACATTCACTTATCATATTGTCACCCATAAACTTTATCTGACAGCTTATGCAGAACGACAAGAAAACCCCCCCAAAAAAAAACGAAACAAATGAATTCAATCCTATGTGACCGATCGGATGGTTTAAGAGCTCTCCAACCCTCCTTGTAAATATGACCAGATTTGGCACGGCAAACACAGACAAGTTCAGCATCTACTATATGGGAAAACTGGCTATTTACCTTCCTAGCCATAAACAGCAAAGTTGGAAAATTAGTAAAATGTGTATAACTCTTGACCTTGCAGCGTGGCACAGCACAGGCTGTTGACCATTATCTGTCAAGTTTCAGTTAGGCATGTGATCAACATATATGAAGGCTGGAATTAAAAGGTTTTCCATTCAACCAGGATGTGGAACTCAGGTGTAGCTCTTTGTAGGTCAGTGATTGACTTTGTGTCCTCTTAGCTTCCATTGAGCAGCATCTCTGGCCCAGATGTTTCGGGACAAGCCCGGGTAGAAGTGTCACCCAGTCGAGGGGGTCCAACCTGGAGCTTCGCAATGCCCAGACCTCCTGAGACTAACCCTCCTGGAGACAGAGACTTCCTGCAAAACAGGAGAGAGCAAAGATGTGAGACAGGAAGACAGCGAGAGATTGTGCGTCACTTAAGTCAAAAATGACTCAAGACTCGGGGCAATCCTGTGAACAGTGATTACCATGGTAATTCACCTGAAGGCCATTTTTTTCAACAGGTGAGCATCCATCTTTTCTGACTCTGTTTGTGGGTGCTCTGCTGCAGGAGATGAGATGAGGGTAGAGGAGCACGGAGGTGAAAGGAGAAGGGAAGCATCCTGAGACTGTGGGGTGACCAGGTCTAACGACTCCTGTGAGGCAAAATTGTAACACAAGACAAAGGATAAAGAGGTCTGGTCGATAATTAAACCTTTTTTTTTCTCAACTTGTTTTTTTACTGAGACTGTTCCCAGTTCAGAGTTGGGCAAATTCAACATCAATCTTCAGAACATGAAACTACATATAGCGTCAGCATATACAAAATCATACTGACCTGAGACTTTATTTCCTGCTGGTCCGAATCCTCCATGTCTAGAGCACAGAGTTCGAGCTCAATGTCTCGATCTGGGTCTGACTCGCTCTCGGCTCGGTCCTGATCCTGGCTAAAGGCGGTCCGGTGAGCTTTCAGATCAGACACAATTTTCTCTCCGCTCCCTATTGAAGTTCGTCTGGCATGTAGCTCTGAAGCACAGAGCTGCTCACTAAAGCAAGCACAGACCGGCACAGATCAGTTTTTTTAAACAAAGATTACTGTGTGGTCATGTACAATCATGTGAAAAAATAACATTTCCACAGGCCTTTAGGAGCTATAACTTGAAGTAATAGTCTTCTATATGACTTTATCAGTCTCTCACATCGTTCGAGAGGAATTTGCTGCAATTCATAGAGGTTAGCACACATTTGTTTTTGCACAGCTCTCTATGGCCCAGCATCAGAGAGCATTTCAGTCAGGTTTAGGTCTGGACTTTGACTGGACTATTGTGACACCTTGATTCCTTCATAGCCAATGTGTTGAAGAGTTGCTGCTGTGATTGATATCACTGTAATGCTGCATGACACAATTAGGTCTGAGTTTAAGTGGTCCAGCATATGACCTCACATTTCACTTTACAATATGTTGGTATCCACAGGAGTTTATTGTTAACTCAAGATGCTCAGATCCTTGGGCTCGTAAAATGAGCCTAATTCATCGACCCTCCACCACCGTGCTTTAGAGTTAGTGTGAGATGTCTGTGCTGATATGCTGTGCTTGATTTTCTTCAAAGATGGAACAGTGCATTATGGCCAAACATCTCTACTTTGGTCTCATCTGTTCCAAGGACAGGTTTGTATAGATGAAACTTTGCAAGCCTAAGCCGTGCTGATATGTCACTTTTTGAAAGAAGAGGCTTTCTCCTGGTAGCCCTTCCAAACAAACCATACTTGCTCGGTCTTCTTCTAATTGTTCCGTCCTGAACTTTAAAATCCTAACTGAGGCTTCTAGTGTCTGATTTCTAGCTCTGACTGTTGCACAATGTGATGGGGGTAAATGTGATGGGATGCCCACCGCTGGGTATGCTCCCGAAATTTAACCAAACTTCTGCATTTATCTCAGTGGTCTCTCTTGGTGATGATAAGTTAATCGTGTGCATTTGATTAGCAGCATCTGGCTGCTACTTACCCTCTTAATTCCTATGGAGGCAGTAATGGTGTGCGTAGCCCTGTGAAAACCTCCTTTTCACATGACAGCAATGAAAAAAAACTAGAAGGACAGAGTCTGAATGTAAATGCTGTACCTCTCCAGGAAACTGGAGTGGCTGGAAGAGTCTGATCCTCTGGAGCTCCACCTGTAGTCACTGTGATCCAAGTGAGCATTGTAATCTATGAATGAATGAAGAGTTGTAAAGTAAAACATTTGTAAAAACAACTGAATCACACCAAATAAAGCAATATAAGAAAAAACATCAGATTGTGCTTTAACTCTTTTCAAAGAAGGTACTGATCTACTTTTAAACATTTCTTATCTTTTCTCTTCTCTTTCGGTCCCTTTTGAGTTTTTCGTACGATATCTTCTTTCGTTTTTTATCCCTGCTCACCTTTGAAGTTGATGGGAGTGGTACTGGCGCTCCCTTGGCAGGCTGTTGCTTGGACAGGGTCAGTGGTGTGGTAGCCTGTGCGGGACGCCCTGGAAATGGCCCCCCACTTCGAGATAATGGGCCCCTCACTAAAGGGAATGATCGGGTCTTCGTCTTTCAAGCGACGGTAGTTATCCAGCGAATGCAGCCATCGCTTCCCGACGCCGCTATCTCCGACGCCACCACCTCTACTTTCGTTACTGTCCAACTCCTGCATGGGGAAAACACGTGCACATTTTAAAGCGATCGCACACATTTGTACACAGCCAAAAATTCTGTGTTTTGCAATAAACAATTGATCCTTTTGTATATATGAAGAGCCTTACTGAGTGCTCAGAGCAGGCGTGAGATGAGGTGTGCGCAAGCGTTTCAGGCTCAAATGAGCTGAGGCAGGGCCCGATGGTACCACAGGACCAAGGGGAGTAGTGAGCCAAGCCTTCATCACCTCTGAACCTGCATCCCACACACTGACCTCCACTATTTTCCACATGCTGAAAGAGAGAGATAGAAAAACAGTAAAAAAATGACTTGTGCTTGCTGTTCATTGCTCTAGATTCACTTGCCCAAAGGTCAAGGACATTTATTTATTTATTTAATTTAAGATTTATTTTTCAATTTTTCAGGCACCTGAGGAGAATAGCTACACCTTTTTTTTTCCTCCGCTGATCTTCGGCCAGGAATATGCCATGAAATATTCAGCTGTGTGAATGGCATGCTGGTTCAACATTTCATATTTTGCATTTGATAAATCATGCAGAAAAGCTAACATATTTTTAAGGTGCCCATTCTCTTTCCCAGTTCATTAAATACTGTCACCTTGCCTGGTTTCCTTTGGCACCTGTGCTGTGTGACACCTGGTTACAGCAACAAGAAGCTGGTCTTAACTCACCACGTATGGACACCTTTAAAGGACCACCTTAAAGGCATTAAGTATCCTTTAGCATAATTTGCAAATGATCCTGAACTTGACAACCAAGAGCAAAATTAAAGTGTAGATCAAAACAAAGTGTTAAACACAAAGAACAGAAACCACTGTTCCCAAGCTTAAGAATTGGTAACTGAAAACCATACCCACCCTTTTTTGCTTCCCTATATGGACTTTGTCACTCTTTAAAACAGAACAGTTATCTCCCAGCATACAATATTGCTGCAGCCGGTGAGTCAAAGGACACTTTGTTCATATCTCAGCAATCTGACAGAAAGGCGGTATTTGACACCCTGAGATGAGAGCGTGTTGGTCATCCCTGTGACAGATTGGCAGCCTGTGTGTGGGTTTAGATGGGATTCAATTCCTCCAAGACCATGCAAAAAGCAAAGTAACGTCCTTAAAATATAGCAGCCACATGTACTCACTAAGTTGAATTTCTGCACTTGCTGCCAGTGCTGACACTTTGCAAAAATCACTGCGCCGACAGCCAGTCTCCTTGGTCTTATTTGCTTATTCTTGTTATGCAGAGTCTTTCAAATTTTACTGAACGTGTTAAGCAAACAATTAAAAAAGTTGTGCACCTAATAAGTGGTCGATTTAATCGTGGATGTTTTCACAAACAGACATCTGCCAAACTGTTAAACAAAGCTTTACTCCGCTGAAAGCCTGAGTCACTGCTTGGTGAAGTCTTGCCTTCTCTTTTTCTCTCTCACTTTCTCCCGCACAAACACACACACACACACACACCCACACACGCCACAATTGTGCATTGCTATGGTATCTTCCTCCACAGTTGCTAGGCAACTATCTCCCACTTAAATAGCATTGGACACAGCTGAAGCATAAGCTTTTGGGATAGGAATTAAAAAACAACATAATTTAAAACCGTTAAAACACATAACCAATTCACCCCTTCGTAGCTTCATCCACCTGCAGTGAGCACGTTAATAAATATTTAATAAAAAGAAGGGCAGTTTTACTTGTCATGGCAATAAATCCCCTTAAAAGTGTTGTGTGTGTGTGTGTGTGTGTGTGTGTGTGTGTGTGTGTGTGTGTAAATAAGGAGAAATGGGCATCTCTTTTATTTGCTTTGATACCTCTGTCCCAAAATCGATGGTGAAGATGGGAGAAGACTGGGAGGGTCTGTTGGCACTGTGATGATGGTGATGATGAGCCCACTGTTCCTGCTTCCTTCTGAACAGATCCTCATAGCCTAGAGCAACACGTCCGTAGTCCTGAAGAGGGAAGCGATGGGCAGGGGAGGAAACATCAACAGAGATATTACAGCATATATAAGAATAATATGAATAATAATATATCTGAACCCAAAATGGTAGTATTGATACAGCCTTTGCAGTCTTCTGCACTTGTGTGGCCTAGGTCTGAAACTGGTAGCAGCCAGGGTGGAAACTGTAAATAACTATGCAAGATAATGTAATGTCCTTTATGTGTCAGAGAAATGTTCACGGTGGTTATTTTTTCTATTAGTTTTCCTCATCACGTGTACATGCAAGTGGGGGGGATACTGAGTTGCATTGCACTTAGTGGATTCATTTTCTTTTCTTGGCTTTTAGTAACGCATAATAATGCCAGATGGGATCATGTTTGTTTGCTCTTTGCAGATTTTTTTTACACTGCATCTCCTCATTTTCACTTTTATCTCCACAAATACACCCTACAAAACGAGTCTTGTTATGTACGACAGGTAATGTAGCTCTGTCGGTGAAGTGCGCTTTAGCACTGCAGCAGTATAGCTGGTAATGCTACACGACGATATGAGAAGGAGACAAGTGAGTGGGAGAGGCAGAGACATATTCGGGTGAGAAGTGGGAGGACTATAAAGGAGGTTGAAGCTCCATGCTGCAGCTCTGTGACTGAAGGGGAAGGTAGAGGTGAGGCGATATGTGGGTGTAAAAAGAGTAAGAGAAGGAGAGGAGATGTTGCTGTAAAGAAGCAATAAATCTGTTCAGTGTAACACAGACCACCACCAATTAAAAATTGATAAGGTAATGTGATATATTGGGATGTTAGCATTATTTTCCTCAGTAGGGACCACTATTTTTTAATTACAGCATAACTCAGTCACTTATCTCTCTCTGTATGCCCACTGATCAATAATTCAAATATATATTTTTTATTTGATTTTAAAGACTTCTGCTCTTCAAATGAGCCATGGGGGAAATTACAATATCACCACTGAATTAAATGTCTAAGCGAGATGTTACTGATAAGAGGAAAGTTTATTTTTCCAGCCAATTAGTAGTGAGTGTTGCCCTCGGCAATGGTGAAGATATGTTGGAAGATAAAGGGCCAAAAGCTGCAGTTCTTCAATAGACCACTTGGGGCTGGCTCTAAAAGTGTGCCAATTCCTGTACACCCCCACGCTACATATGCCCACTTAACTGAAGAGATGAAATGTATTTACAGCTTTGTTCTATCATTTATTTACCCCCTCTCTGACAGCTACAGTCCCCTCCATAATATCTGAGCTTTTTCCCAGCAAAGATTTTAATGGTGATTACAGTAGCAGTGTTGCTGTTTTGGATGCTAGAAAAACATTTTCTTTTCACTCACTGTGAGCTCACTGTGCCGGTAACAGCTCTGCCTCTTTGCTCTGAGTATGTATAAATTATGACATCATCGTCTTTGCTGCTGCTGCTGCTGGATTATCAGTCTTTCTGTTTAAAAAGTGGGGGCCGTGTGGGCTGTTGTCATACTTTTTATTCACATGCCTGCTCCGAGAGACGTTTCTATTGCAGGTCTATTTTTAGTCGCAAATGTGGGTGAAACGTTCACGTTTACATGGTGACAACTGCGCTCTACAGACTCATAGATTAAACAAAGCTTCGATGCAAACACAAAAAGTATGTCTTTTATATACAGTCTATGGTTGTTTCCCCTACCCTGTGTAGCCCTGCACGATGTTCAGCTCCAGAACAGTAGTTGCTGTCTAGAGAGTTGAACCTCTCCCTGAGTGGAGGTTGGTAGACAGAGGAATGCAGCACCTCTGGAGGCAGTGAGTTACTCCTGGCGTCCTCTCTGTGGTACAGCTGCAAATGTAATCATCAACATTACAAATAAAGTCGCAGAATTACCACACTTTATGGTAGTATGATAGTCGAGATTGCTCACCTGAGGCCTCCATACTCTCCTGCTGTCATAGAGGGGAGCGTAAACTCCATGAGCAGGGCCCATTGGGTGCCCTGGGTGGGCATGGAACGTGTGAGGTCCCATTCGATCTCTAGGCGGGTGTGATGGGTACCCCGAGGAAGACGAAGAAGGTGGGTGTGGAGTTTGAGGTTCATTTGGGTAAGAAGATGGAGGACCAATGGAAGGTGGCAGAGAGGATTCTGGGACGTTGGAGGATCGCAGGAACCGAGCCATACAAGGTTTGTGAGGGGGATGAAGACTTGATGGGTAATAGGAACCTGCTGGAGAGTAGGAGGGAAAGAAGAAAAACAGAAGCTATGAGCACTTTCCGCCTATCGCACAACAGTGAAGTATTTCTGCACATCCAACTTCGTGTAAAAACAAACTCACAGGCTGGCTGATAGTGGGCAGTGTCATATGTGGAGTGAGGCTCCTGGTAGTATACCTCGGACGCCTGAGAAGGATGCGATGGACGCAGAATAAACTGACCATGTTTGGGTATAGGAGCACCACCATCAGACCGTCCGACTGTGGTCAAGGGAGACATCACTGATGAGTGGCTGACTGGAGTCCTGGGAGGAGAGAGAGGCTTCCTAATGAACCGAATGACAACACACAGAGAAAGAGTTAGTACAAGATTAGGACTGAGTTGGAAATTCATATGGTGCTAGAGTTTTCACCTGTAGTTATTCTCTTAGACATATAAACAGCAGTGCTACGCTTAAAGCAAAATTAACATTGATCACAGGGTTAAATACCAACAACAGAAGATGTAAACATCAGCAAACAGGTGGAAACAACTCTTACTGTTCTGCTGACCCAGATGTGGTTTTGTTGGAGCCAGACACATTGGGCCCACTAGTTCCATTTGGCACAGCTCGCTTAGATTCCTCCATCACATCGAGCCCTCTGGAGATCAGCTGAGGGTGATTTAGGCTGGGTACTCCCTCCACCATGGTGGCTGTGCTGTCTCCATTGCCTTTGAGCCCCTGTCCTACTCCTCCAGACACATCAGAGTGAATGCTGCCCTCCATGGTGAAAGTTTTATTCATTCCCCCCTGCGCTAAAGGGAACCCACGGCCCACACTGCTGCTCTTCTTGTTCCTCAATCTAAATCTATCGAGTAAAGGATGCACAACAGGAGCATTCAGTATAATGGACATGTATTAGATGCTATTTTTTTTAATCATAGAAAATGGAAGTTATGTAGTTGCACACTCACTTCTCCAACTCATCCTGTGTGTGCGCAAATGTGCAGCTGGTTCCTCGGGGACAGCCTCCCTGCTGACGAAGATCTCGGCACATGCTGGTCTTATACTTGCTGTTTGCCTGAGGCTGCAAAATGCACAGACCCAACTATTAAACTACTACGTTTATCACATAGGTAAACCTACTATAATGAACATATCTCCCTACAACAACAATTTCAGTGCTTTTCCAGGCGCATGAGACTCACACGGCAATTTCAGTCTCTATTCGCTTGGCTATACTTTTAAAGACGAGGTTCAGTCCTCTCAACTAAATCTGTTAGCTGTTAACAGCTCTACCAGCTCTTTAAAACATATATTATGTTAATGGTCTTTTACAAACTTGCAGCACATCCCACCTTATACCTGGTTATCTGTTTTGCGACTATAATTCTTAGCCTCAGGGTACCTGTGGAGTTTCATGGCTCTTCTTGCTGAAGTTCTGTATGAATTCCACTAGACCATGAACCACCAGCTTTACAGCCAGCATCACACTTTCGAGCTCCTCCCATGATGGTGCGGAAGCATCTGCACACAGAACGACAACATACAGTTTGTTAAGCAGAGGTTTTTATTACTAGAAATCCACAAAATTTAATCTACTGTTCTGTGTAAAGGGTGGAATTACTAGCCCTAACCCATATTTCTCAACCTGTTGCTTCCTAAACCCAATAGTGGGATTAAAACAGTTCCACCCAAAAGTGAAACTGTAATTTTGGTAGGCCAGCCAATCCTGAGAAGGTCCACTAGTCTTCTGGGTTTTCTCCGTTTGTGGATAATGACTCTGGCTGTGGTTCACTGAAGTTCCAAAGCCTTGGACATTATTTGTGATGCTTTCCAGAATGACAGATGTCGACAGGGCAGGGCAGGGTGAATTACTTTTCACACAGGTAGGTTTGGATAGCTTTTTTCCACTGATAAATGAAATCATCATTTAAAAATGCCCTTTGTGATTACTTAGGTTATCTTTGGCTAATTGTTAAATTTGTCTGATGATCCGAAACATGTAAGTGTGAGCTATTCACAGAACTAAATTACAGAAAGCCCAAGTAGAATTCAACCAAGAAATTTGTAGTGTAGCCCACTGAAAACATAGAATAAACAACTGAGACCCTGTTACCATTAAGTCAAATTAATACTCTCCCCATCTGGAGAGTTATTTCTATCTTTTTGGACGTTCCTACACAGTCTAATAACTAAAGAAGATATGAAAGCAGGAATGCTAAAGCTAAATACTATCATAATGAAATGTCACAGTAATATTTACAGCATTCAGATCTTGGCTTCGTGCATTAAGATGTCAAGATTTGATAATTAACACAAAATACATTGTACAGCTGAAGGTCACATGACTATTTTGTTTGAAAAGCACAAGCTTCCAGTTTTTTGCTGGCTGTAGCACAGCAACAGCACTGCAGAGGGATAATATCCCACATGACACCAAAGAAAATATAGCCACTTGCAGTAATGCAGCATGTATAATATATTGTCTAATGATTTGAGAGGCACAGTGCAGAATACATTTCTGAGTGCTGAGGGTGTATGTAAAAGACAAATAGACATCAAACACTTAGTCATTATGTTTTGATTAGTAAATGTTTAGCACACATGATGAATCATAACTTTCCCTCTGTCTTGCACTCGCAATTTGCCTTTTGGCATGTAAGCAGCACTTTTTTCACTCAACAATCCTTCTGAAACCCTAATAATTAGAACCATATGGATACTGTTACCCTGCCTCCCACCCTACAGCAGCTGGAATAGGCTTCAGCCCTCCTGCGACCCTCATAAGGATAAGTGCAAGAAATTGGATGGATTGATGGATGAATACTGTTCTCTATGTGGCAGTCCACACCAGTGGCCTGTTGAAGCTACTGTAGGTGGAGTCACTGGGGATATCCAGGGGTAGAAATATGGAGTGAACTAATAAAAAAATATATATAAAAGAAAATAAAAAAATTGAATAAGGTGGGCAATATAAACAGAGTTAGAGAGGCAAAGCTGAGATGGTTTGGACATGTGCAAATGGGGGGAGTGGAGATATTAGACAGAGATTTTGAACGAGGATAAGCAATGGGTTGATGTGACAGAGGAGGATGCTAGGGAAGCAAATGAACAAACAAACCTGATGCTATTGTCCCACCGTTTATTTCACAAAAATCTGACTTGGGTCTTATTTTCTTGTTAATAAATGATACAAACTGTGGAGTGTGGGGCATGTGGAGAAAAAGCTTGAGATCCATGGTGTTAAATGAAGGGACGTACCTGGGTTGTGGTCTATGTTGGCTAGCAGTTCTAGGTGTGGTCTAAGGCTTGTGAGGTTGGCAGGATCTCCTGTCCTCTGCAAGACGATCGTCAGCTCCTGAACACTCTTTGCAAACGACTCTGGAGACTGCAACTAGAGCAGATGAAAGAAGATGATGGTCGTTTTTCAAAGAATTAATAAACAGATGATTGCATTATTCCTCTGCTTCCGCTCTCCAGACGCTTGTTATAAATAGAGATGGACCGATCCGATATTACGTATCGGTCCGACACTGACATAAATTACTGGATCGGATATCGGAGAGAAATAAAAAATGTAATCGATCCATTAAATATCAAAAAAGCACCTCACAAAACTTGCAACATGGCATAACTCGGCTCATAACCGTGGCACGTAGCAGCAGTATGCATCACGTGATAGAGCGGCTGTGTGTATTTGTAGCCTCGCTATCAATCCGGCATTTCATCTCCGAGGAAGTGATCCCAGAGAGAAGTAAAGCAAATGTGTAAGTCCATCTCTGAATGTTTGTAAAGCATTCCCGCGTTAAGCTTAACAACTGATATATGGAGCCACCTTTGCCCAGAAAGAGGAAACCAGCAGCTGAACAGCAGCAGCATGTTTAAGCTTGTTAAGCTGTTGTTAGAATTTATTTAATATTACTTTCTACTCGAGGATCTTTTTCTATGTAGCTGACGCTGGTAACTGTGCAGGGGCGGATCTAGCAAAGTTTAGCCAGGGGGGCCGATAGGGCATGAACAGGGAAAAGGGGGCACAAAGACATACTTTTCTTTCTTATTCTCATTTAAAATGTCTAGCTTTTAATCAATAATTATCCGAATCTTACACCCAAAGTTTTAATTTGATGCAAAATGTATAGAAGCCCATTACTGTATATAGCAACTATTAAGTCTAATATACCCTAGTAAGCTATAGTACTTTTTCCTTTGGGAAGGTACCATCTGTGCAGTCTGCAGTTCTGTTGAAGATGTTGAATCTATTTAATTATTTTTGAAAAATAATTTATTTCTGAGCATTTTTTCCACACTGCATCAAATTAAAGTTGATTACGTCAATTAAGCATCATGAGGTGGAGGGTGGTTCCCTATTTTTTTTTATTTATTTATTTTTTGCTGGGAGTTTTAGAACACTATTAGTTAGGTTGCTTAATATTTAAAATACCAGAATAGGAAGGATGGAGTAGGTTTAACTTTATTAGATTGATCAATATTGCTGAACTATGAAATATTTTGGGTGCAGTGTATTTTTTGCATACAGGTATAACAGATTAGCTTTAGTGTTTGTTTGTTTTTTTTAACTTGAGTATGAACTTATACAAAAAGCAGCAAGATATTAAAAAAACAGTTTTGTTGATTAAAAAACACTATATCGGATTCATATCGGTATCGGCAGATATCCAAATTTATGATATCAGTATCGGTATCGGACATAAAAAAGTGGTATCGTGCCATCTCTAGTTATAAACACTGCTTGAAATTTTAAAAAGCAAATTCAAGCTGTCACAACCTTGCACACGGTCACCAGAGGTGAGGACACGAAGCCTAATGGTACCTTGTCAATGATGGACTGCATATGTGACTTGTGGACCAGGTCTCCATACAACAGAGAGGACCACTGCTCAGGTGAGATTCGCAGGCCCGCTTCCATTGCGATGTGGACGATCTGCGCGTCATGTTCCCTCCTCAGGGCCTCATATGTGCGAAACTCCTCCTTGAGCTGCATCAGGGAGGAGTCCTCATCACGCTTTGTCACCTGATGATGAAGATGGATGAGCGAGAGAGGGGATGAGAGACAGGGGAGTGAGAAGAAGAGACAAGGACACAAATGACCTTTGTCTCCAATACGATTAGACAGACAAAAAAAAAAGAAAAATCAAACTTTAACACGATTTCAAAATAAAGCTTCATGTACTCTTGTGTATATTATAAATAGTGCACTTAAAACTGAGGCACAATTTTAGGTTATCAACACCATTGACGTTTTGTGGGGTCAGAAAATTGAATGATTAAGGCTACTATGGTAATTTTGTACCAGCAATGAAATCATGTTGTTATAATGCACACCTGCATGACTTCTTTGGAAAAATGTGTGCCTGTTTTAAATTCCTGTTAACTCTCCTTGTCCTTAAATTACAATACATTTCTATCTGTGAAACCTCAAATGCTGAGTGTCGTGTTTGCAATTAGTCTCGTAAATCAAACAGAGCCGTCACTTTGTCAACATGTGGTGTCTTCAGACTCAAACACTCAAATTCAGATCACACAAAGGGACTCTCCCCTTCTCAGAATCTGCCCTATGAGTAATCATCATAAGACACCAACTGTCAGCTGTTTACAAATATAAAAACACAATCAAATTTCACGATCAGGTTTTGTCTTTACTCCTTTATCTATCTTTGCATCGTTTATCTTTCTGTGTATCTCTGTGATGTCTCTGTCTGTCCTGCGAGGCGGGGCAACAGGTGCAAATATAAACTGCCGTTGCATCACAAGCAGATAGCTGGCATTTCTGCCCTGCCAGCGATGTCTGTCATCAGATAACAGGCATAAAAATACACACGCGCGCACACAGATGCGCACACACACGAAAATATATTTAAAGAAGCCCATCTTCTTAATAAAGAAGTGGCCTTTTATGAATTATTAGTACCAGTATTTAAGTGGAGAGGATTCACACTGTAATCCACTGGATTGTGCTCATTTTCATATCCATCCACAGCTGAAAGGGAGTTTTGCAAAGCTTTCTCAGACACTATGACTAATTTTAAACGAATCGTTATTTTACTTTTTTTTTTTTTGGAAAACATTGTACTGACGAGAATGTAAGTTCTGGAAAGTACCTACAAAACCAATGCCAAAAAGGGGATATTAATCTGAAGCACCGCCTCATCAGAAAAGAAACCTGTAGTCGTACCCGACAATCTATTTAGGTCCCCTCCATTAATGAGGCCATTTATCGTGGCTTGGGTTCTTAGGACAGCACCAAATGGTGATGGTTTTGTAACGTTTGACAAAGAACAAATTCAATGATCTGTGGTTTGCTTGTTCAGTTCACTGAAATGTAGAACCTGTCATTGCAGCATGTTTACACATTCCTGTAAGTGTGCATACATCTACTGCCTGTACCTTGAAGCAGGAAGCCCTGTAGAGCAGCTGCACGACGTGGCCTATGCTGGTTTTGGAGGCCTGGGGGAATCGAGCTTCAAGCTTTTGGACTACAAACAAAACCAGCACCTTCCTGGACAGAGCTGAACCGTCCTCCAGAGCCAGTAAGACAAGCTTCAGTGCATCTTCTTGCATAGCTGATGGAGGACGAGTTGGAGGGTTGTACAAGGATTGAGAGATTGACAGGATAGGAAAAAGGTGGTAATGAAGGGGGAAGTCAGAATGAAAGTAGCAGTATATGAAGAGGAAGTGGGGAGAAAAGAGAGAACTTTTTAGCACAAACACACTCAGTGACATGGGCAGCATGCACATGCTATACATATTCGAATATTCAACACTGGTTACATAAAGACTAAACAACGGCAAGTCTATATCTAGTAAACAAAGGGTTTTGGAGGTGTCCTCAGATTTAAATGAACTCATTGTGTTATCATGACAAGAAAATCTTTCCCAGTCAGAATCTGCCCTATGAGTAATCATCACAGGACACCAGGTTCCAGCACCAGCAGGCGGTTTGATGAAGCAATTTAAACAGTTCTGGACACAATGAGTCCACTGACTTGATAAAAGATGACAGGGTGACACAAATCTAGTCTAACAGCATGAATCGTTAATGTTAAGGAAAACTCTTTAACTGCACTGCTTCCACATTTAAAACTTCAGAGTGTCAAATGTTTAATAAGTGATAGTTTTTAAGACAACATGTTTTACATGTTTACATCTTTAGCATACCTTACAGCACTCCAGTGATGATGCATATACATTATGCAAATGGTTGGAATTTAGCTGTGATTAGAAAGTGCTTTGCCACACAGGCATGAGTATAGAGGCACTATGTGATATAGCTAATATGTTTCTGTCATGCACACTTACCGGGTCCCAGAAACTGGCAGCCCCGTGCCCTCACTGCAGCCCAGAGGTTTGCAGAGAGCTGCTGGGGGTTCTGGTGCTGAAGGATGAGCTCGGTGACTGTCCTTTCCCCCAGAGACCGGCCTGCCCGAACCGCCCGCACGCGACCCTCCTCCTCCACCAGCTGGCAGTTCACCAAGGTCACCAGCTTCCTCTGCATGGGCCTACTGAGCACACTCGGGCTCAGGTTTGCCACACCTGTATTAAGCGACAGCTCCGGAGTTAAACCCACTGTTTCTAAAACCAAATAACAATGAAAGCATTCACTTTAGTCATCAGATATTTAGTCTCAATTAAATAATAGCTGAAGAAAAACAAATTAAGAAGAACTTTATCCTCCTACACAAAAACAACAGCTGAGCAGTCAGTGTTCTTATGCATGTAATAACCTCCAACCAAACCCTTGCTTTTCCTTCTTAACCAGATATGATCACCATTGAGCAAAATGATGAACACTGCCCCAATCCCATAAACCGGAAGTCTATGAACAAAGAACCAGTCTTTTTCAGTAATAAAATCTTCTTTTTATATAGTCCGCAGAGAGATGAATGTTCCTTCAGCCTTATAAAAGCACACAAGCTTCCAGCATCGTGAGAAGTGTGAGAATCATCAATGCCAAGTTACACAGGCAGCCCAACTGCAGTCCCCACGCACTGAATATAAGGAGCTTAATTCTTTTTCACAACTGCCCAAATGTACCACACAAAGCACACATACAGTACCTTTTGAGCCACTGATGGGCTTTAGGTAGAGAGCCAGCTCTTCTACACACATCCTGCAGACCTCATAGTGTTTAACCTCTGCTGCACTGCTCAGACTCACGGGTTGAACATCTGGGACCTGATATCATACCAGGGATGAACACAGAAGATATATAAACACATAAAGCTTCAGGCTTTTCTCACTGTGACAGTGTCACAATCGCTCACATAAACAGGAGTTCTCTCTTTTTTGCCTCACCTGAGCGCCAACCAGCTGCAGCAGGGCGCAGTTGACAGGCAGCAGGTCGATGTCGGTGCTGATCGGCGTCTGATCAAAGGGACAGGCCTTGCGGTGCAGTTTGTGTAGGCAGGTCTTACACACCGTGTGGGAGCATCCCAGACTGATGGGCTGGTGGCCGCTGCTGTCAAACTCATTGTAGCAGATGGGACAGGACAGGAACTCTGTCCACTGGGCCGCCTGCACTGGCATCCTGCCACCACACCACCGAGACAGGCGATGCCGAGCTCAGGTGGAACGCATGTCAACGACCCCGACAACAGCACCTGCTTGCCAGTGCCAACGATGACTGTAAGGAACAGGATGTAAAGATGTGAATTAGCTATTTAGGGATCAATTAATATATCTCATTTGAACTCAAATATCATTTGGACCGATGTGCATGAAGCCCAGCAAGTGTGAACACTGGATAGGTATTTCAGTTCCACGCATTTTGCAAAGTACAAAGGCAGCCCCTCACATGTCATAAAAGTTATACGTTTATTATTTGCAATGAGGGCAATAAAACCGTTTAACTTCCTAAAAGAAGTAGCTGCCACTGGGTAGGTGTGTGTTCCCCAAACACACACCGCAATAAATGACACCTCCTCAGCGAGAACACAGTTTCAAGTCCAGGTCTATATTTCACCGATCTCATTACAAAAGCAACAACAAGTGGGAACAGACGATGACAACAACAGCAAGTAGGAAAGAGAATTTAACAGCATTATTTGTGAACCTGTTATGAGAGTGCAAAAGTTCAGAATGTATATTAGTAGAGAAGCCAAAAGAAAAGTTTTACATGATTGTGAGACTGAAATTAGTCATGCTGAGTCTTCCTGGTTTGCTTTTTATAACATACCGTACCTTCTCTTGAGTGTGCATGAGTGTGGACATAACTGATAAGCACTGACAGTTGTCCACAGACAGCTATGCACATAGAGCTGAATAGTACCAGAATCATTTTTTTTTTATTGTGAGGACAATTTCAAAGCCCAACACTGCACCAACACACACAGAGTATCATGAAAAGTTAACCCAAAGCAATTCTAGATCATTAATACTGGTTTTAATATCCATTGTTTTGTATTTTTACAAAACGTAATTATACATTTTCCAATATATTTTAAATCATGTGCACAGATAATCGGAAATAAGCCAAAAGCCGCTTTCAAGATTTGAGTCGCTTTGGCACAATGTGCAGGATATAATGCCGGGATACTCTATTTTACTACATTAACATCCAGATTACATTAGTGCTTTAATAAAATACTGCTGTGATTTACTAGAAGAGTCAGGCTTAGCCACTCACTGTGTACAGCATGAGAGAGGAGGAAAAGTATCAGGTTTATTTTTGAATTTATAATGGATGTTTGTTTATGGGATAAAGTAATGCTGTGGTTTTATTTTTGTTTTGTTTTTTCTGTATTATATTGCATGTTATTTATATATGAAATACTTAGTATATTATAGAGATGTTATGACTAATCTGAAAGTATGATTAAAAACATCTTGTCAGTAGATGATTCAGTTGACCAAACCCATTCATTCATATATTTTCTCAGCTGCATTTTGAACTCAGGGTCAGCAGAGCCAAGCTGTCTTGGAAGTAGAGTTGGGCTACACCCTGGACAGGTGGCCAGTCAATCACAGGGCTGACACAGAGAGAATCAACTGACAAGCACACATGCAAATGTGCTAATATTCTGTGTAAAAGCCTCATGACTAAGCTTCTATACATAGCTGGTTATTGACCAAACGCAAAACCTTTCATAAAATATAACCACAAAAAGGAAAAAATCTAACACAACATGATCCTTCCGTCTCCACTATACAAAATGTTTAACACTGCCTTCAAATGGTGAGCGCCTGTTGCATTCATAGTCTGTTGCATCTGCTCAAAGTACAATATTCACTAAAATAACAACAGCTGGTGCCCTCACTCAAACGGATTTAGAGATACAATAAAATAACTTTATCACGCACACGCCAACTGAAAAAAAGACGACGATTAGAGGGAGCTGTTAATCGGCTGGACCGGTTTTTGTTTACATGTGTAGGTACTGCATGTATCAAACTAATGGAGAACTATTATCCAAAACCAGAAAAAGACACCATTTCTAATTTTATTTTAAATACTATTTTTGGAAGCTTTATGAAAACCAAGTCTGTTAACAATGGCAACTTTGCAGCAGAAGGAGGTCAAAAAAAAGAGGAACTGTGCGCATTACGCACGTGCTGTACTCCGCGTTAAACAGCAAATATGCCCAAAAAGTCCTGCAAATCCATATGCAGCCATAATCACATAAATGGCAGCCTGCCAGATTTACTGCAAAACAAGACATACGCACCTTCGGAACGACCCACGACTCGCCTCGGCAGCGCTCTCTGCTTGGCCGCGTGGATAGCCCCGCTCTGTCCTCGCGCGTCATATTTCCTTCCGCGAGAAGCCCAAATATAACACCGGTTACAGCTTTTGTAGCCCACAACCTGCTAAAGAGTGAGGTAACACTCATGTGATGAACCGGCTTCTGGGGGCTTTTTGGAAAACCAAGAAGGTGGGGAGTTTTACCACGGCGCGTGAGCCGGATAATGTCTTTCTGTGAGTCCTTGCAGATTAAGGGGGGTGTAGCCTCTGGGGGCAACTGTTTAACCGTGATTCACTGTCTGTAGTCACGTTGACAGCCACCTGTTCCTGTTCTGACAAACTGCTATCCCGTCATTTTTTTTCACAAATAAGCCCCAGCTACAACTGTGCCTGAGTGCTCGAGGTACAGCAGTACTTCCCGGGTTGCTCGATGCAAGCCTACGCTATCACACCACTATTAAAATAAAAAGCATGAGTACCTCACATCACATGAGTGGCAAAAAAAAAAATGTCATAATAGACACAAGATTTTTATTTCTTGCATGAGTGCATCACTGCTGCATTTAGGCAGAGCATGCACATACAAACAGACACAAAGCCCACACAGTCATGAATACTTCCAGTCTTGTGACAGAAAGAAGTGGGTGTGCATTACTGCAGACCACAACTTCCTCATCGAGGTCCTCTCCTTTTCTGATTACACTAAAAAAGGGAAATTAACCTATGAGCAATGATTTTTTTAATTTTTATTCTTTCGGGGATGCCTGTGGCAGAAGCGCCTCGAGTTCTCACTTGAGAATGAGACATTCTGAAGAGCATGAACAAAGAAGAGGGTCAATATAAGCGAGCTTGGTGAAATTTAAAACACACAAGGCCAAAGCAGTTTTTTGCTTTCCTCACATGGTGCTGCTGAGCTACCCACTCTACTCAGTTGACGATGAGAAGTACATTGTGTCTTTACAGCCAACAGTTGGCGAGCTATCATCTGGCTGTGAGGCCTTGCTTGGCCCCCTCTGGGTGTGTGTGTGTGTGTGGGGGGGGGCATCTGGAGTTTCCTTTGGCATGTCTCACAGAGAGACACACACACAGACAAAGATTGTTAGGGAGTGTTCTACAGGACTTGAAGTAATACTCTACATCGGGGTGACATTTAGCTCATCACATGGGTATCACTTATGCTTGGACTAAGACTGAGTTAACACAGTTGAAGCTCTTAGAAAATATCATGCCACAGCTCAAGTCCTTGTTACAGTTACAGGTTTTCGCTACACACTGAAACCTAATTTCTGCTACTGAAAATGGCAGCACATTTGAAAGGAATAGCGGAAGTAAGGATCATCCAGCAGACAGCCAATGAGGCTTCAGTCCAAGCAGAACACACCCACTAGCCACCAGGATTAGGTCATAGCTGGAGTGAGAGCTAACAGACATGTAGTAACAATGGATGGGTGAATTTTGATATGCGGCCCTTACACCTTACGTGTGCGTCTGTTGCCGCCACCAATTCCTGAATGTGTTGGGTCATGATGTTTTAACTCTGACTCCCGCTTAAGTATTTCTGTAGGCCCAGCGGAGCGATGTGGCACAGTTACCTCTATTCCACCCCCCCAGTATCTGCAGAGAGACCCTTCAGGGGCAGCACTACTTTTTCATACACTTCTGTGTATGAAGAAAGCAAAGAACGTGGGGCGTACAAAGGGAAATATTTGTATTTCTAAACAATTTTAAAGCCAACATCGCATAGTAAAAGTGAAATAGGAAAACATGTTTTAAGCAGTTATGCAGTGCTTAGACAATACAATCTTAAATTGGCTGTGACAGCTATAAGTTTAGGGCCTCCTTGTGGCTTTGCAGTCCAAGACGTTCAGACTGTAACTGTCTCTAAGCCAAATTCTGACGTAATGTATTTGGATGCCTGACATTCCCTTTTATTGTCAATCCACATTTCCTGTATCGAGGATTCACAATACAATACCAGCATGACAAGACCCCCCCTGTGATTCATCACAATATCTGTGTAAACAGAGAAGAAGAAAAAAACACAGAAGAGGCACAAAGCACTAATTATGTATTGATACACTATGCTGCGGGTGTGTGTTATGACTGCTACTGAATAAGGCACCACAGTCGCTCAAGGTCAAAGGTTCAAAACCCAACGCCTTTTTTTTGTGTGGAGTTTGCATGTTTTCTCCGTACACAGTTTCCTCTGGGACCTCCGGTTCCTCCTGCCATTGAAAAACATTCTTAGTTAATGCTGCTCATGAAGGCCAAGGACATTTTCGCAAAACATATCAATGCTTTCAAGAGTTTTACAATAAAGTGCAGTTGGGTGGGTGGGGGGTTTGTTGGGTTCCCCTACTTTTTCCACCGAAACGTAATTTACTTGTAATGAACACATCACAGCTCCAGTTTATTCATATTTAATGCCTCTGAAATATGTCTACACATTATATTAAAAAAGGCTGAAATATTTCTAAATACTCGTGACTTTTAACACTTTTCGCCAACGTGCCAATGACCTGTTAAATTCAACCTCACAAATATCACAGCCATAATTTTACCATAATTTTACCATCCAAGCCTCGTGGGAACATCGAAGCACAACAAGGCTGAAACTTTACGCGCACAACACTGCTGCCAATAACATTTTAATAACATCTTTCAGTGTTTACATTTTAAAGTTTAATGGATACTTCAAAATCGCAAATCGGAAAACCTCATTTCACAGTGACAGTTTTTATATGAATGAAAACTTTCTATTTGAGTAGGTAGCAGCACCTCTGTGAAGTGGAAACAATAAATGCAAATGACAGTCAGCAGCAGATAAAGGATGAAGGGAAAGTTAGACTTTAACACTGAGAAATGATGGCGCCAGGTAATTGTTTGCAAGACTCTCAAAGGGCACAGAAAATCCAATCTGCTGCACAGGGAGCACAGAACGCTGATGCACTTCGAGCCTGCGATATAAAACCATAACATAAAGTCGCACCAATACACTGGAATTACCACACAGCTCGTTTTAAATGTTGTCAAAGCTTAGCAACTCTAAGTCATAACAGTGCCAAGATAACCCTGATAAGACAATGGTACTCGTGAGTTCATTGCATAATGTGCAATAATAACAGTGTGCAATACACATACACTTATTCTTCTTTTTTATACTAAGTTAATATACTGTGTTGTGTTGTTTGTTACGTTGTGATGTGTCATATCGTGTCGTGTTGTGTTATATGTAGTGCCGACGTAGGACAGTTTTTCCAATTTCATTGTACTACTGTACTATGTATGACTGTGCAATGACAATAAAGAGTTATCTTATCTTATCTTATCTTATCTTATTACATTTCATATCACTTGTTTCACCATGTCATGTCACTTGTTTTTTTCAGTGTACTGTGGGGGTATGTGGGCTTGTGTGATTATTTATTCATTATGTCTGTCATCACAGTGTGTGGGGGTAGTGTCTAAATGGGAGGCAGGGCACTCATACATCTCACAAAGCTGCTGCTGGTTGTTTTATACAGCATATATTATATACACACTGCACCATAGTCTGTTTCACTTTGCCTGTGATTTGTGTCTGCAGCAAAGTGGAGGGAGGGCTGCTGCACCTTTGGTTAATAATGCTAGAACACAAGGTTGCTTCCAGTTGCAAATCAGCAGGTTATACAGTAACCTTCCCTGCAGGGCGGCCATGCTGCATGCTTAAACTTTAAGATGACAGCGGCGGTAAATAATATGCAACACCTGAACTTGGAAACTGCTCTGCTACGGCTCAAGAAGTCACTCTCTCAGCAACAGCGATGTTACTCCATAAATTTCACATTGTCTTGGAAGCGATCTCCGCGCACTGGAGCCAACATTAAGCAGTCTCCACCATTACAGCAGCACATCTACTTTCATATCGCTTCACATATTGCCACTGAGTGCCTCAACTCTTTCCAGAAAAACCCCTCGTTTGTATTCCCAGCTCACTTAAGTGCTGTCACTTCATTTCAACTACAGCCCACCTTCTTTTAATATAACACCAGTGCCAATTCAATTCTAGAAATTAATGCGCTAGGAGCATGATGGTTATTATAGACATTGCTCTTTTTTTTTGATCATGAGCCACGATACAAGCTCTTATTTGCAAACGATGGGGGAATAAAAAAAAACCCTAAACAAAAACATGTAAACAACCCCAAGATGTCAAAGCTCTGCAGAAAAATCTGAGCAGCGGGAGAAAGTAGCGCGCACCTCTGGATAAGTCACTTACCTCACGCGTTACACCAGAACACCGGAATAAACATATTCATAGCCATCCACGTGAACATGCCTTCAAAATTATTCTTCATCAGTTGCAAAACAAGCGCAGGGGAAACATTATTTCTAATGCGACACTGACACGGCACGGCATCCCAGAGCAGTAGAGACAGGTGCCTTGGTCCGCTTTTAATCCTCTGCCCCCCTTTCGCAGAATACGTGACAAGAGACGCTCGCTCCTCTCAGGTACGGCGAGCCACACGCCCTCTGCTTGACAAACCGAAGCTGAAACGAGGAGATGGTGGTATTGCTCCGCCAGTGATGGTTCCCGAACTGGCCCTCATCATCGGACTCAGCACCGAGCTGCACGGACAGAGAGGGGCACGCTCCTCCCCAGATATGATTTACTAACTGCACCGCGGTTCGGCTTCAAAGGCTGGTGCGTAAGGGTCAGGGGAGCGGTGTAATGAGGATGGCACTAGTTTAATGTTGTGAGCAAGGATAAAAAGATGTAAAGGGGCAAGCCGGAACAAGCCGCTTTTCGAGGCGTGGGCTGTGAGCATTTAAAGGAACAGACCGAGAAGCAGGGTGGTAGAGGATGCGCATCGACAAGTGCGTCTGCGAAGAGGAAGTTCACACACGAAAACACAAGCAGTTCCCGCATGCTGTTGCAACCATGTTCGAAGCTGTGGAGTAGCGGAAAAATGTTTAAACTTAATTGCCTTTACCACTTTATGAAATGTTTTCAAGCCCACAGCCGTGTTTAACAACGCTGAAAAGCTTCTCTTAGACATTTGGATAATACCTGTAGGTCTGGGTGAATATATTTCTATATTATTATATATATTATGTATATATTTAATGATCCATTCATTCTACATTTTTGCTGTTTACGAAATAGCAGTCATGTGTGAGCGCATTTACAGACTTTAGTGATCAGTAAAACAAGTTACTAGTGACAAAAGTCATGATGACTGTAATCCTGGTCTTTAATGAGTTTAACCTTGATTTTTAGTCGAAATTTGCACGCTTGTCACATTATTGTCATTGTTTATATCTGAATCACACTTTTGTAATAACTCAGGCTTTTCCCTCAGTGAGCTGCTGTTCACTGCAGGAGACGTGAGCCTACTCATTATGATTCATACTGGAAGGCTAAATCTGTTCCAAAACACTTTTTGAGCTGTAAACATGTTATCTTACATACAGAATCAAATTTTCTTCTTGTGCCCCAAAAGCCCTTGATGTATGAATTTCTGTAAGCTAAAACCTTTTACAGTAAATATTACAATCATGCTGTTATGAGAAGCAAAAATCTTTCCAGCACGTGTTACATGTTTGATGTCTAACAATATAAGTGGTGCACTGAGGCTATGGATGTTTCCTCAAGGACGTCTTTGGACCTGTTCAAATCTACCTTGAACAGTAATATTTTTTTATATAAACCACAATAAAGGAACAACATAATGTTTAACACCTTACATTCAATTTGAACCATAATAAAACAAACAGTAACTGCCACAGTTTTCAGGATAATAGTAACATGATAGTTTTGAATGTATTCTACAGTTTAAGTCTCAGTTAGGGTTCTTTCAACTATAAGAAGATAAAATTCGGCTGTTTTTTTATTTTGAGATTTGCAGGACTTTGCATGACCACAAAGACTTCAGAAAGTGAAAGGTAAAATAAAAAATGGCTTTATATCCACTCAGGCCAGTTGAGAGATGTAATCTCTCCAGCATGTCATGGGTCTGCCATGGGGCTTCCTCACAGTGGGACATGTCTGCAACACCCCACCCAGGAGGTGCCCAGGGGGCATCGTGGTCAGATGCCTAAACCATCTCAAGTGGCCCTTCGATGTAAAGGAGAGGGGGTCTACTTTTTGCCCTTCGCAAATGACTCAACTCCTCATGCTATTTCTAATAGAAGAACCAGCCACCCTTCGGTCATGTTATTGACTTGTTGCCAATTTACCTTATTTTTATAGCACAAGTTCACAGAAACAGCCTTCTCAGAGTTCATCATACTGTAAGGTAAGGATCCTACAGAATTAGAGAAAAACCTCTGTGAGCAACCACTTGGGGGCAGTGTGGAGGAAGAACTCCCTTTCAACAGGATGCCGCTGCAGGCATCAGACTTTTGTAGGGGTAACCACAGAGCAACAATAAAGAAGACAACCATTCATAATATGTAATAATGGCATCTGTGTTACCTGTTGCAATCATAACTACACAATTTATCAATAAGGAAAGTTTTAAACCTAATCTAGAGAGTAGATTAGTAGAGAGGATGTCTGCGCCCTGAACCCAAACTGGGAGCTGGTTTCATAGTAAAGGGTCCTGATAGCTGAAGGCTCTGCTTCTCATTCTGCATTTAGAAACTTTAGGAACCACAAGTAAGTCTGTAGTCTGAGAGTGAAGAGCTCTGTTGGGATAATATATTACTAGGACGTGTTTAGGATTTCACTCAAGACTTTTGTTTATGAGAAGGTTTTCTAATTCAATTCTGAATTTAACAGGGAGCCAATAAAGATAATCTAACAAAGAAGAAATATTATCTCACACAAGTCTGTGTTAGTACTCTCACTGTGGCATTTTGGGTCAACTGAAGGCTTTTTAGAAAACTTTCAAAACAGCCTGATAATAACTTACAATAGTCCAGCAGAGGTAACAAATGTTTTCCAGCATCACAAACAGGATGGTTATAATCTTAGTGTTATTGCGCAGATGAAGGAAGCTACCTGAATATTTGTGTAATGGATGAGTTAAAGGACATATCTTGGTCAAAAATTCCCCACAGTGTTGCTGGAGGCAAGAATAAGTATCTTATAATACAAAATATTTTTGAGATTTCGGTCCAAAACTGAAATTAGAAGTACAAAATTTCACATCAAAGCTTTTATAGCTACAATTTTATTTGAATTGTGTCATTTGAAGCCACAGAAGGCACAATTGTATAAATAAAGTTTGGTGTCACTGACATAGAAATGAAAATGTATGCAGTGTTCTTTAATAATAATACTTAAGGGAAGAAAATACAACTGAAAAGCTGTCAGTCAAAGCATGGCAGACTTTTATGTGTGAGAAAGACACATAGTTTACATGAACAAACTAGAGTCTATCAGACAAAGCACACATTTCCTTGGTCTCTGCAGTAAAATAACGAATGCGATATCACATGCCTCACCGAGCAGCACAGAGGCGAGTCCAAGTCTGATGAAAGCAATATCTACTTATTTCTCCCAGTTTTCTGTTGACACACACAAAACAGCTCCTCCGTATTGAAACTGTGTTCACAGTGAGGTCAGTTTTGATACAGCTGTAATCAAATGCACTTAAGCCATAATCCTACCTCAGAATACGGTGAACATTCTATCTCTTCCTCTCGGCTCTTTCTCCCCAGTTCTGTCACAGCACAATGCCACCTTATTCAGTACTACATGAAAACAAAGCTTCATATAAGCATGTTCAAACTCATATGAAGCTTTAGAAAAAGGGTAAAGTTTTGTTAAAGGTGTATTTTAGTGCAAAGTACACCATTCACAGGGTGCTGCTACACAGTAGCTTACTTGACTAGGCAGGTGACCCACATGCTGAAAGGCCACTGGGTTCAACTATTTTCTGCATGTCATTCCCCCTTGCTCTTTCTCTGCTTTCTTGGCTACGGTCCTGCCAATTACTCCAACAACATAATCTCATTCAGATATTATATTAAATATTTATTTAATATAATATTTTCCTATGCAAAAATCAACCCTATTAACTCTAGGAATGGTCCATAATCAAATACACAAGCAAACATTTATTGTCTCCAGGATATGGAATCCAAATCCAGTTTTCATGATCCTCTGGCATGATCATGATCCTTTGAGTTTGTTGTGAATTTTTTTGACATCTATTGAATCTGCATCTAATTCATCGTGGTACAAATATCCAAATCATCCCCAGATGATGAATTATATCCAGAAATCATATTTTTCTGTAATCTGCAACAGATTTTCCAAGTATGTAAGTAACTGCAAAAACAGTTAACATGGTAAACATTGCCATTGCCATTCTAAAGTGCTAGACGCTTCCTCGATGCTTTTTATTGCTCTTTCCTTGTAGCTTAACTTGACATCTGGTCATAATGTGGGCACAGGAATATAAAAACCATTTTTTCCCAAGTCAGTCTTGGATATGTAAATGGCCTATATTTGTATAGTGCTTTACTAGTCCTAAGGACCCCAAAGCGCTTTACATATCCAGTCATCCACCCATTCCCACACTGGTGATGGCAAGCTACATTGTAGCCACAGCCACCCTGGGGCGCACTGACAGAGGCGAGGCTGCTGGACACTGGTGCCACCGGGCCCTCTGACCACTACCAGTAGGCAACGAGTGAAGTGTCTTGCCCAAGGACGGGGCTCGAACGGGCAACCTTCCGATTACAAGGCAAACTCCCAACTCTTGAGCCACATATGGATCCTGTATAATTTTAATTATAAGACCAAAGAAGCTACGTTTCCTTAATATAATTACTCTCCATCAATATCTCTGCCACTACTCATCCATCTTCCTCGTTGTCTTCATCCTCCCTGCTGTTTCTCTCTTAGCATCTCATCCATAATGGATGTGCTCCAAAACCTTACATACATGGATTTTATTTATGTGTGCAGTGGTGTGTGCAAACACACATGCCTGTATAAATTCTGACCTAGTTCATGGAAGCAGCACTGATTGCTGTTGAAGAGAATTTCAATCCCTTCTCAGTGAAACAATCACATGACTATTCATGTTATTACACTTTAAGATGTTTTCCTTATGTTCGCTTTCTGTTTTTGACCTATAACTCACAAGATTACTTCTTTATGTTGATGTTTTTTCGGACTAAGTTGCTTTATGCAAGTGCAAATAGGTAGATCAATGCTTGCTTAATTTTATCTTCAGCTATATTTATGTACATTCTCTGTCTTCCTTGGTCACACACAAACACACATTTGCATGAATTTCTAAACTGAATACCTACACCAAAGCCATGCATTCACTGTTTGTCTGCACACAGTGCCAGTGGCATCTGAGGCGCCCACTGGCTAGTGTTCCATTCGGTAAGATGAGTGACAATGACATTTCTGGGCCAAAAGGATAGCTGAGGGATAAAAGCAGACATGTGTAGGGAAGGGATGGAGTGAGAGAGCATGGAAACCCACTTGCCGAGTCATGCTCAGTGAGCTGTACACAATTTCTAGAGGGTCAAATGGTGAAGCAGTTGCTTTTCTGTGAGCTCACTCTACTCATGTTTTTCAGAACAGTAAAGACTTTTATTTGCTCCAAGTTTGCTCTTCAGTTTGTTGCAATTGAATAATTTTGTTGCAATAAAAGGCAGAATGCAATGATTTGCATTTTCCAGAAACCCACATTGTATTCACCATAGAATGCAGAAAACATATCATATCATAATGTTTAAACTGAGAAA